AATATTTATAAAAATGAAACATTTTTGATTTCCTTAAGTCGTTCTGTCATATATGTGTGCTTAAATATTAATATCTCTTATGTTGCTTACAGAATTTTACTTTACGGCCGTAAAGCCATATTAAAAATCCATTAAAATAAAAACAAAACTTCATAAATTGCTGCATGTAAGCATTAAAGCCCCAATGAATACAGTAAGCATCTATCTCCTTAGGTTGGTCTTTATTTTCGGTAAGTAAGCGTTACTTTAGCAGTTGAGATACTTAGAAGTAATAAATACTTTAAATGTAGGTACGAGTAAAAACAAATACTGTAATAGAAAATCTAAATTGAATAAATTATTTCAAATTAGATATAATATTTGAATTTTGAGAGACAATTGAATCTCAACATAATGAAAAACATAAATTAATTAATTAATTATATTTCGAATTAAATTGGTTAAAAAATAATTTCATTTTATTACATTTTGATTTAATGATTCTTTAATGTGAAAGAACGCAATTTCTTTTGGGTGATGTTTCCTTAAGGAAAGAAAATAATTATCTTAAATGCATTTATTTACTCAAATTTGAAGGGGAAACTCATCAAAGCGTAAATACATTTTAATAAAATGACATTTTGACCTTTCGCCGTTTACATGAAATATGTATGAAATTTCAGATATTTACACTTACCTGAGCATAAATTCAGTTTTATGGCTGCGAATAGGCTGGCTTTTCCATCAAAATATTATAGAAATACTCGTAAAATTACTCCGACGCTTTATAGAAATAATTGATATACAATTTTGACTAATTTCAAGTGTATGGGTTTCCACACACTTTTATATGTCTGAAAATTTTATGAAACGCTATCAAGTATTCAACAAGTGAGGTTAAAATTTGCATATATTCCCACTTTCATACATTTACATACATTAAAGAACTGGCACAAACACACGTTCATCCTGTCGAGATGTAAAACCAGAGATGCTTTTTAAAAAATAAGTGGTAGAGCAGAGAAGTAGGTGAGTGGCATATACAGACATTGTGGCTTAGTAACATATGTGCCTATTAAAAATCCATTTTAGTCACTACAGCATATCATCAAGGCACACTTTTTGTGGAACAGAAAAAAAAAACTATTTTAATTCAAGATTTTGTATTTAAAATTTAAATACAAAATACAAGTCTGATTAGTTTTTATGGCAAACTAGTATTTATCACAAGTTGGTTTATAGATAATATATGCTTATCCCATAATATTCAATAATAAAAGTTAGTCAAAATATGTGGAATTGATTCCAACATTTAAATAATTAAACCAGTCAACGAATAAAAATATATATAAACAAATGAAATTAAATGTAAATGTATATATATATGTATATATATTATATTTTATTGTATATTTATATAAACCCATATATCAATCAATCCAGTACGTTCCCAGGGGAACATTGGGCCATAACGAACTTTTTCCAACTGTCACGATTTTTTGCCAGGGTTTTAATTTCTCCAAAGGTTTTTCCAATTGCTTGGATTTCTTTCTCCAGTGTTCGCTTCCACGAACCCATATATATATATACTTTAAAATATACTCAGTCAGTAAACTATCGTTTTTGCCAGTTTCCTCGTGAATAAACAATAATAATTATAAGAACTATATAGCACACCAAAACAATAGTTTTCTTATAAAATCATTCAAAAAATTATCTCAATGAAAGTGTTGTAGTTATCCAATTCAAATATCAAATATGCCAAAGTTGGATAGAAGCACAGGAATCGGTATCTACTCCATTAATCTAGGTACTTTTCTAATCCTATCTCAGCTCTAGAAGTCTATTTCTATATTTTAGGCAGATTTTTAATATCCCAAGAGCTTGTAAAAAAAACGACTTAAATAAACTAGATTATTAAATGCACTAATAAATACAGCGGCAATCGTTTAGGGATGACTTACAAAAATAAAATACATCAGAAAAGGGTTAAAAGATCGTCCATTAAATTTGGCACATCAGAAAATAATTTATATTAAAACAATATTTGAAAACAAACTGCTTAAATATTTATGAACGTATATGAAGCCACAATAATAAATCACAGGAGAATAGTAAATTTTTACATATGGGTCATTCTTTTACAAACCGGACGGGTTTTGACAAAAAATAACCTCATGATCTCCGATTTGGCTGAAATTTTTTTTATGAGCTTCTTTCATAAAATAAGAAGACCTGTATCTCGGGAAAAAATTTTGTGATTTTTTTCGTAGGAGATATGAACCCATGGGGTTTTGAAAATTGGCATAGTAGACACATTTTCAAATGGCTATATCTCAAGTTCTATAAAAGATAGAAACTTGAAATTTATAGTGTATAGTAGACACATTTTCAAATGGCTATATCTCAAGTTCTATAAAAGGTATAAACTTGAAATTTACAGTGTTTCAAAGATAATTGATTGAACTTTTATGAAATTGTTTAAACAAATAAAATTGTTAATATATAAGTAGTAATATTAACCGTTAAATTTCAAAAAAAAATATTTCTTATTAAAATTTATGTTTTGTAATAATTAGTAGCTTTTGCTTTATTAGGTTTGGGTTTATATATATAAGTAAATAAAATTATTGAAAAAGGTAACATTTAATATTGCATAATATTCTTATTAAATATTCTTTTCACTTTTTTACTATATCAATACATGTATATACTTAAATAATAGGTACCAAAATATTGTTTTGAGTCTTATAAGACCGTTTATAGGGGTGTACTGTATTAATATGAAGAACGCGGCGCTTGCCTTAAAAGACTTATATGGCTACATAAAAAATATAGTAGAATCACGTTTACAGCAGCTCATTTACCTGTATTTTACGTGCGTACGGTAAAAGATGTACATCTCAATGACTATAAATCTATATCAGTAAAATATACTCTTTATCAGTCTTTGCAGGCTCTTGGCAGTTTCCGCCTCGTTCGTTTACACATATACTATATATATATCTCGACAATTTAATATAATTTTTATTTTCACTTTCCCCTTTGATTGCTGACATATTGAAAATTGTAATCTTTAATAATTCTTTGACCTTTTAAGATTTTTAAAATTGTGGTGAAATGTACTTAAAAATGGTTCACTAAATTTATGGGAAAAATATTTTAGTTAAATAAATGGCACTAGTTCCGGTTTTAAAATATTCCGAGCTATTCTAAAATTGTATGACAATTGTTTATAACAAAAATAACTTTACATAAATAATGCTTTTGACTTTTCAACTGAAAAATAAGGGTTTAATTTAAAATGCTTTAGAATGGTTAAAAAAATTTAAGTGAACTTTATAGGTACCAAATTATAAAATATGAAGGTGTTAGAAATATGGATGCAGAAAAAAGGTGCACCTCAAAAATGATGCTATAATATTTTTATTGAAATTATTATTCCACCTACGAGCGAGAAATTTAATTTCTTTATTATTTTCTATATATATGTTTTCTTTTGTCTAGGCAAAAAAAAAAAATATCTAAAAATTAAAAAAAAAAAAATTCATTTTATTATAAAGAGGATTCGAAGAGTACAAGAGAGAAGAGAACAACAAAAATTCACTTTATATTATTTTAATTAATTGAGCTTTTGACCATACATATGTTTCGAGTATTGCCAAATATCCATCATCAGTGGTCTTGGAAATAATTCTTGTACTTAATTATTCGTAAATGATTGTTTGAGACTGCAAGTATCCGAAATCGAACTCGTACCCAAAGCCGTACTTGACTTGTATGTTCGTAATTTTTCTGGAGTTCTGTTAATTTGCTGTGAAAGTTGTATTAACAAATTCACTTGCTGTGTTATTTTAGAACTGAAGTCATAGACCAGCTTAATAATTGAATTAATTAGTTATATTAATCATTTTATTTAGTTATGTTACTTAAAATAAAATAAAATATATGTAAAGAAAACTACTAGTTATTTATATATAAAAAATTATATTTTATTTCATAAAAAATAGAAATTTTGGGCAACCTTGTATTTCATTTTTTCTAAATCAGCATTCTCAACGCCGTATGGTAGGATGAAAGAATACGATTTTTAAGTAACAAAATATATAAAAAGTATTCGGAATTTATAATTTAAAAAGTTTATATAAAATATATCACCACAATTTCTTCTTTAATTTGGTTACATAGTACTGTGTTACCATGCGAGATTTAAGCACTATCTGGTTTACGTTGGCTGTTTTTGCAATTATACTATAGAATGTTCTGTGATGGCACAAAACCGTCCGTTAAAAATAGTTATTGTCAAAAAAATTCAAGAGTTGTACTATACATATCTGATTTCTAATCATTCTAATTTTAATTTCTCGGATACGCTCATGTGACAAGGAATTTTTATAAATGTCAATATTTTGAGCAATTTTTTACAGATTACATTAACAAAAACAAGTCGCACCATCTAGCGCTGTCTGACGTCTGTTTATTGTTGATAGTTTTCATGTAAATATGTCTAACTTTGAAATAAGATAACTCAAAATAAGCTAACTGAGCGATATTGACTTAGTTGAAATAGCTTCCAAAATAGGTGTCTTACTAATATGCATACGGGGTTTTACTTGTTTCCCAAGTAAGAATTATCGCTTCAAGACAGGTGCATGGAACAGATTTTAGTTATGATAGAAAATTTGCTGAAGGGTTAAATAGTATATTATTTTCAGTCTATATAAATTTTATTGAGGCTTAGCTCAAGCGTAGCCTCAGTTGTATTGCACTCGACTTATTAGGAGGCGAAACATAAATTTGAATTAATCAATTTTAAATGTTTTCTTAAGTATTTTCATTTGCATTTAAAATATCTTATATTTTTTAATTCTTTAATACACAGTGTATACTGATTTTTTATAAGTGCCTGTCTTTTAAA